AGATATTAGTTTTAATATATATAGCAAAAAGCAGAGATGAGATAAAGGAAATTACTAATATCATAAATAAGTTCTTTGAGATTAATAATATAGAAATAAACACAAAGAAGTTAAAGCTACTGATATTATTTTTAAAAAAATAAAAGATGTAAACAAAGAATTAAAGTTTGGCTTAAAAACAAATAATAGTATAATATCATTGAGATTAATGTAACTTTCTGAATATAACTAAAATTATTTTGATCTTGTATAATAATATGCTAAAGCAAGTATTATATAGTAGTATAGTATAATTAAGGTTGGTATAACTCTTTGAATACAATTAGAATTGTCTTAAATATTTACAAAATATGTTTTAAACCTCACCATAGCAGATAGTACTTGAAAACAGAAAAAAACACTGAGTAACTGTATAATATTAAATTTTGAAGCATTTGCAGTTAAGCTGTAATAGTAGAAATTGGCTTGAAATATAGGTTAGTAGTATCTGAATAGAAATATGAAGAGATACTTGATAATAAAATACTAACTTAAGGTCCAGAATCAATGGTCTATATGATTTTAAATTTTTAAAAGCTGTAAAAATAATATTTTACAATTATATACAAACCAAAGTTAGTAATGAACCTAACTAGGTAGCAGTTTTTAGTTTGAACAATGAGTTTTTGCAGATCTCTAAATCAATATCAGTAAAAAAACAATAATATAGTATACCAAATTAAAAATTATAAAAATCTATAACCTGTAAGTTATCAATTTGAGAGTTGTACAAAAGCAAAAAATGAATGATGCAAGAAATATAGTTTAGCTATATAATAGTTTTAAAATACAGAAGTAATATCAGATACAGGTTTGATTCTTCTTACTAACAGATAATTTAATAGCAATGCTTCTTCAGAGTATATTAGAAAATTTTTAAATAAGATATATATTAATTACTATTGGCAGGGATGATTGGCATTGATTTATATTGATTATAATTAATTGTAATTATTTAAATCTAAATGATTGCAATTAATTGTAATCGATGCTAATTAATTGCAATTATTTAGATTTAAATGATTACAATTAATTGTAATAGATATAAATTGATGCTAATCATCTCTGCCAATGGTAATCAATATATACCTTATTTAAAACTTTCAAATGTAGGGGATACTCTAACTGCTAATATTGGTTTTGAACATAGCATGCTAGTGATGTAATAAAAATATATTTGGACCCTATTAGAGCAGCCAGATAAATGTTGGGTTGCTGGTTAAATTAGTATAGCTTAGTTATAAATTGTAATATAATTCAAAAATTATATATATACTTATGAATAGATTTAATAAAGATGTCACCAGCTTTTCTTGCCAAGTTTTTTTTAAAAAAAATAGAAAGTATGAATATCAAAATAGGAAATATAAATATCAATTCCCTTTTAAATTTTAAACCTTAAAATTTAATCAAATTTAAATCTAAATTTTTAAATTAATTCAAAATTAAACAATAGTCAATTTAATTTATCAAATTTAAATTAATCTAACATTTGATTTAATTTAAATTTAAAAAATCTTACTTATAATTTCATAAAACTAATATAGTAAATTATATAGTATTTGAATATTTTAAGGTAGCCAGGTAATACCAAACTTTCAAATTCATCAGGAAAATTTTAAATAGGGTACATATCGATTATTATCTGCAGGGTAATTGGCATCGATTTATATCGATTATAATCGATTATAATCGATTGTAATCGATTATAATCATTTAAATTTAAATAATTGCAATCGACTGTAATCGATATAAATCGATAGCGATCGATCGATATAAATCGATACCAATTACCCTGCAGATAGTAATCGATATGCACCCTATTTAAAAATTTCCTGATGTTAGATAATTACTTGTATACAATTTTTTAAATCAAAGTATTAACAAAACTGTTTAAAATAAAATAAATATGTTGTCTCAGATTAACACTCGCGGCTAACGCATCTCAAATAACCGATTATTAATAATTGGCCTAAATTATATCGTAATTTTTACCATGACCCAGGGATGCATCTGATGCACAACATATATTTTTAATTTTTTATAAAATTTGATTAAATATAATTTTAAATATACTTGAATTAATGTATATATATTTAGTTAAAAAATAATATACAACAAATAAAATGTTTAATATCAAAAAAATTTTTACGTATCTAATAAATATTTTATTTTTAAATACATGTTTTAATATGGTTTAAAACTTCTTAATAAACAAGCCAAAATTTATAAAAATACTAACAAATTGTAACTTAGATTGTATAACTTTATATAAAATAATTTTATAATAAATAGTATAGAACATTATCAATATAAATTAAACTTTAGTAATTTTTTCGAATTTTGGACAAAATTATACAATTTAAATTTTTATTCAATAATAGATTACCTTAACATTAATTTGTGACTATTTAATTAAAAATATGTTTATAATATAATCACTTTGTTTAGCTTGAATTCTATGCTTTGCTTTCTAAGCTCTGTTTACCTCCAAAGCTACGAAATATGAGATGTTATGAATAGTATTAACGATCAGTTTATTGAAAAGGCATAAAATAAAAACAAGAAGAAAACTTCAGCATACTGAAAGTGACTAATATAACGATATCCTTGATATAGCTGTGCGACTTCATTAGTCAAATGACATGCAAAAAGTAGCATGTTAGGGGGTTGCACTCTCACAGCAAAACGCATGAACATAGCAGAATATATGCACATCGCTGTAAAATAAACGGATAAATAAAAAAAAAAACCGGGTTATATTATTAAAAAGTAATTAGAATAGAATCGCAGCCATTTACCTGCTGTCATTCTAGGGGATATAATATCTGGATCTTTTTTAACATCAGCAATTGCGGCCAAAGGTAAACCCCAATTAGCAACTATATTTTATGGATCATTAATGCAATATAGTAGTTAGCAAATTAATTAAGGTAGATTAACAGCGAACAGACGAATATTCGAATAGCACGAACCTGGTCCCCAAAAATGCTAAATTAGCATACACATGCAGAAGCGTATTAAATAAGTCAAAAATATTTAATAAATCGACGTTAATAAGGGGGAAAAAAAAATACCGTGCTAAACGTTAAGAATGAACGTTAATTAGACCTTTTCCGTTTCAAAAAATAAAAGAAAAAAAAAGAATTCCATTAAATATACCTCATAAGATATTGCCGAAAATCCGGACTTTTGATGTACTGAGCTAGTTGTGAAGCAAGAGACATTTTATGATTATTATTATTATTATTATTATTTTTTATTTTTTATTTTTTATTTTTTTTTTAAGGTGAGGTTATGCCTCGTGTATTTATTGCCATTTACAATTTATATACAGAACTATCTATACCCCAACTGTGTCCTGTTTACATGTGATTAGGATTTTTTGTGCAACAAACTATATATATAGTTATTTGAATTACAAATTGGTTTTATCGGCGCTCCCAGTTTGGTATACCTAGAGGACCCTTTATCCTTAATATCTACCTGCGCTCATCGGCTATAGCCCACTGCTTGACCTGGTTGTCTTGATTTTTGATGTTATCGCTGGAGTTTGGACCGACTAGGAGTTAACGTTATTGTTATGGGATTGTGCTTGTAAATTTACTCCTTATGGTTCGTCCATTTGGACTTCCAGCCGTGGGCCTTTGTAATAAGACTAGTGATTTGAACCGATAAAAAATATCCTTTTTGTTTTTATCTCGGAAATTAAGACGAAAATTTGAGTAACGGAAAACTTTGCTCATAACTTATGTTCATTCAGCTTCTTTTCGGACCTTTTTTGCTCTCTCTTGGTTATTTACACACTATATCGATCCTGTCAACCGGTTACCCGAGAATTTACTCAACCGGCTATCCGAAATTTATTCGGGTCGGGTCGGTTAACCGATTATGGTCCAACCGGTTCAAATCACTACATAAGACTTCCAGCTTAGGTATTTCTATCTAGTTGGTGTAGCGTTCATGCTTGTATATTCTGACTCTTCATTTTATGATTATAACTTCTTATTTACTTAAGATTGTATATAATTATGTTCTGGGTTTCGAGAAGGTTGTAAATGAGAAATAGGAACGGGTAACGAACTGTTGAAAACGGTGCCGGCTACAGCAGAGAACATTATACGATTGGCTACCCTGAGTCGAGCTAGCATGTGAATTTACTTAAACAATATCGATATCGATATTACGTTAAATTACATATCGATATTTTTTGCCTTTATCGTATTAATTTTTTAACCTATTATGGAATGGTCTGTACATGTCGGGAATTATACGTAACATGTTGAAAGATTATAGAGAATCATAATAGAAGTGTTCAGTCCAAATTACTCTAAAATTCTACTAACGTTAAGGACAGTTTCAGAAAGTATATTTCAGTTATGCTTGGAAATATTTAAAAAAAATTACAGTTGATTATTACTATTTAAATGATTAAATGTAAGCAATTACCATATATGAGTGACGCCAAGGGAAAAGAGCATCTCGGCAATTTAAGTATATTACTGATTAATTATCGATTTTATAACAAACGTTGATATAAAATGTCTATTAACGTTAACGTACAATTTAAAGCCCATCTGCATCATTGCTGAACTCGAAATTAATCAATAATATAAATTGCCGAGATGCCATTTCACTTGGCGTCACTAATATATGAACCTTTGGCAAAGTTTGTGAATAGGTCGATTATTCTCAATATTTTGACACTTTGAAGTAATTTGCAATTTACAATATGTATCTGCACTAAAGTACTAAGGTTGCGAACATTTATAGATCAAGAGTAGCTACCTCAGTTACGGCTATGTTGTACTTTCAATGCGTACAGTAAAAGATATTAAATAAAATGGTTATAATTTAATCGTTATTCTAAAGACTCAAATCGCGTATTTGTTCTCTCAAATTCCTCCCAAACATATATACAGTTGTTTTATTACATGAACTAGTTATTGTCATTATTAAATTTACGTATTTTTTTGGTTCACATCCTCTAATTCTACTATAACCTCTTCCGCAGCCACTGCATCACCTGGTTTAACGTTAACCTTCTTCACTTTACTTGCACGCGAAGCGCGTAATATGTTTTGCATTTTCATGGCTTCTACTACAGCAATTTCGGTTCCTTCA